GGGGACCCTGAGGGGGCTGGGGGTGTCCTGGTTTGGGGGACCCTGAGGGGGCTGGGGGTGTCCTGGTTTGGGGACCCTGATGGGGCTGGGGTTGTCCTGTGGATCCATCCGTCTGCCCTCCCAATCCCAGATACTCCATCCATCCATCCATCCATCCCAAAATTTCCCAGCAGCTTCCTCTCTCCCTGTTCTGCCCCACACGGGGCTCCTTGTCCCTCTGGTGTGAGTCTTCTCTTTCCCAGTACAAAGCAAACCAGTCTCAGCCTTTATTTCCAGTTTTAGTTGACAAATAAAGCAATATCTCTGTCAGCAGCCTCCGCTGGGATACAGGGTGGAGGGAGAAGGATCTGTGCCCTCCCTTGGTCCCATTGCACTTCCACCCCAGTGTTCCTGGGGCACAGGCTGGCCTGAATCTCTGTCCTGAAGAGTCTGGGTGGATTTGCCTTCACGGGTCTGGCCAAGCTCAGTCCATGGACACAGAGAAGCCAAAGTGTGGAAAACAGAGCCGGGGAGAGCTCGTTCCCCATTCACTGCAGGTGGAAGGGGGAGTCTCTCCCCTTTCCCAGGGGAAATTCCTCATGCAGACAAAGAATTCCCCCTGGGAACAGCTTCACCTTTGGGACTGGGAGGGAAGAGGCCGAGCTGGAGGGAAGTGGGCAGGGAGGGGCCGGGCGGGCTGGTCACATCTTGGGGAAGCTGGCCAGGTTGGCCACGCCGCAGGCGTTGTTCATGTTGCGGGCGAGGAGGACGTAGCCCTTGTTGCCCCATTCCTCGCCCCAGCTGGAGGGTGGAAAAGCAGAGCCTGAGCCTCGGGAAGAGCCCCAGCCACCCRAAACTCCTGAGCCATCCCAGCCCCACCGAACCTGTTCTTGATGATCCAGTGCTTGGTGCCCTTCTGAGCCCCGTAGCCCACGGCCAGCACGGCGTGGTTGATGTTCTCAGCGTTGCAGTTCTCGTCGTAGTACACGCCTTGGGGACACAGCCGGTGTCACCGGGCGTGCCTCAGGTCCCCCAGCAGCCCCAGGACCCCCGAGCTGCCCCCAGCCCCTCACCCCGGCTGTAGAACTGGAAGGAGGGCAGGCTGGCGTCGATGCCCACGGAGATGGGACCGATCCGGGCCACCGCCCTCTTCAACGCCTTCTCGTTGCCTTCGGGGATCTCGCGGTAGCCACGGCACTTGGCCGCCTTCCCCGTGGGGCTGTACATGCAGCTCTCGTCCTGTGTGGGGCCAGAAGGCTCGGGGTGAGATGGGGATGGGAGGCACGGAGGGATTTGGGGCTGTCCCCGCTCCCACCTGGCCGATGTAGGGGTAGGAGTCCTCGGAGTCGATGCCGCGGTTCTGCCGGACGTACTCGAAGGCGTTGGTCATGTACCCACCCCCGCAGCCGTTGTTGTTGGCCACGCAGTCCACCAGGTTCTGGGGGCTCAGGGACAGCAGTTTCCCCGTTTTCCTCTTCAGCTGCCCCTCCAGRGCACCGACCGAGCTGAAAGCCCAGCACGAGCCACACTGGCCCTGTGGGGACACAGTGGGTGACACCGGGGTGGCACYGGGGTGACACCCTGCGCAGGGCACACCCGTCTTACCTGGTTCTTGACAGGGGTCACGTAGCCCTTCTTGCGCCAGTCCATGGCCGCCGGGGCTCTCTCGCTCCAGTCGGGGACAAAGAGGGTCTCGTTGTGGCGTTGGTGACCTCGGGGCACCTTCAGCCCCGTCATCGTCCTCAGCACCTCCTCGCTGGTCTGGGGAAGGAGCCCGGGGTGGGTGGGAGCACCCAGGGGTGCTGAGCCCCKCTGCCTCCCCTCGCAGGGACACCCACCATGTCACCCAGGTGGTTCATGGCCAGCTCGAAGGTGTGGACGCCCAGGGCGTGCTCCAGGTTGTGGTTGTTGATGTAYTTGAGGTTCTTCTCCCAAATCAGCCTCCGCGTCACCTCGTCTGCCTGCGCCGGGGGCGAGAGGCTGCTGGGACGGGGGTCCTGCCTGTGCCCCGCCCTGGGGACACCCCTGAGCCACCCGGGGGATGTCACCGGGGTCCCCAGCCCTCACCTGCCCGTTGTACTGCTTGCGGTGGGTTTTCTTCCACAGCTCCCACTGCGCGTCCAGTTCCCGCTCTGGGTGTAACTGGGCCAGCGCCGCGGGGACCAGCAGGGCCAGCAGCACGGGCCACCACATCCTGGGCACGGGCCACCACATCCTGGGGACCAGCGGAGCACTGGGGACCAGCGGAGAACTGGGGACGGGGCACTGGGGACGGGGCACTGGGAATGGGGCACTGGGAATGGGGCACTGGGAACCAGCGGGGCACTGGGGACCAGTGGGGAACTGGGAACGGGGCACTGGGAATGGGGCACTGGGAACGGGGCACTGGGAATGGGGCACTGAGAACCAGCGGGGCACTGGGAACGGGGCACTGGGGATGGGGCACTGGGGACAGACGGGCACTGGGGACAGAGGGGCACTGGGGACAGAGGGGCACTGGGAATGGGGCACTGGGGACAGAGGGGCACTGGGGACGGGGCACAGACGGAGTCGGGGGCCGGGGTGAGGGCAGGACCCTGTACCCACCCCACAG